TCTTTATGAAGATTAGTTTCGCTTTTAGACTTAACAAAATTCGAAATTATTTTTAAATAGCAAAAGCAAACAATTTAGACATTAAATCTTTATTTAATTAGGCGCAATGTCTATTATTATTTTCTATCGAAAAAAAAATGATGATCATCACAATGTTCTTCATTAGCTGAAGAAATGAAAGTTTTTTTTTCGCACTATTTACAGAAGCAGTTACTTTACTAAATTGTATAAGGAACAGCTCGCATGTTTTTCAGTACTGAATACTATGAACTTTTGAAAGATTTCGTAGTGTTTCTTTAAAGTTTTGTACCTATCTATATATCTAAAGTAGTTGTGAAATAATTTTGATCATCCTTCAGCCATTTTCCCTTTTTGAGTTTTCTAGAAAACGTCTGATAAAAAAATCAGTAATTTTAAGAATAATTAGATCTTTATGATGACAGCAAACGTTATTATAGACTTTAAATTTCTGCATGCTTTCCAGTAGGAGATACTAATGTCGAAATGACTAAAAACAATTCTTCTTTCTCACCTACAATAGGTCTTATAGATTCAAAATTTGTTTCTTTTTTGATAGAGATTAGGTACTCTAATGGATGGTTCGTTTTTTATTTTTCTCATATCTCGTTCTATTCAAATAAAAATACTAATATCCTGAGAATAACTATAGAAAATGTATATTCTTTTCACTAAAACATTTTTGTGTGAACGCACATTTAATCTTTACACAATCAATTCACTTTAATTTTAATCTTCTTTAATACGTTCTATTGAAATTCTTGAATAATGAAGTTATTTAGCAAAGAAGATAAAATCTAAATGTTATATTGAATAAGAATAAAGTATACATATGGATTAATGAATAACGTTTCATAGAACATCGTTGATGAAAATATATTTGAGATTTGGTTTTCTTCTCAGATAATCTGAGTTGCCGCTTTTTCCTGTGCAGAAATTCAAAGACTAAAATGTACATTGCCAGAAATCATCTGATGATAGATAACTAATCATGTATATTGTTACTGAATCAGAAGAGGGATGACGCGATAGTCACTATTTGCTGTTGTCATTTTGATAAGGATCGCAATTCTGTATCTTTCTTTATTTTCAAAATACTGCGAACGTCATGACACTTAACCTCTTTTGGTAAATAATAATTATTCATTAAGTACTTTCATTGACTCACGATGACTTTTCTTTCAAATATCCATTTATTATTTATACTTTAATCAATATTGTTTCTTAGAGATAATAATCTATGAATGAATCGTGGTATTGCACGCGCATAGTGTCAAGTACATCGAAAAGTATGTTTTTCTTTGTATGAAATACATCGGTCACACTTCTTTCGTTTCAGATATATCACAATCGATTTCAGCATCGACTAGTCAAACTATATTTATTGTGACTTTTAACGAAAAAGTTTCTATATGTTATATATTAAACAGAACAAATAAGTTTTCGTGTAAGTAAATCAGAAATTAGAATGTATTGTCACTCCTAATAGAAGATTTCTATTTTGACAGATTCTCCGAATCGATATACCGATCTCCTTGTACGATTGTTTTTCTTTAACAGTAAATTTGTATTTACATTCCTATTGCATCATTAACATTAGACAAGTAAAATGAAATAATTAGATGACTCAGAAAAACAATGAGAACAGCAATATTTTATTTCATCATTGTGTTCATTACTTTTTTTTTGAGAGTCCGACTATTTATATTCTGTAACTGCTGAGTCAATAAGGTACATGCAATATGTTTCAATCAATTGAGGATGACGGCCAAGACACACGCAAACGAAACTACACATAAGTGTCAGAATCTACTAATATATTCATTATGTCAGTGAAAACATTATTCAAATAATTAAGAAACTAGGATATATTATGAAAAGGAATTATCTAATATTTTCCTTTCCTTTGTTCTTTTGACTCTATCTGAGGTCAAAAACATTATTTCCATTGGACATTCTTTGTGATAACTTGTTCTGTGCCTCGTCTTTATTAGTTTTTTCTCCGACTAAGTATAGATCGTTTGTTATAAATGCATCTAGTTAACAAGATTTATTGTTTATTAAGATTTGTTTATTTTCAATCCCCACAAAGCGAATCAAAAACTACACAAGATTTTCTTGTAATATTATATGAATGATAACTAAAAATGTGATATTGTCTTTCTTTAATCTTTTTTTTTTTGGACAGCATATGCAGAGAAATAAAGTCTGCTGCAGGCTTATCATAGCGAAATATAGAAATATCTTAGTAAATGACTACTTTTCTCTTTTGAACAAGTAAAACTTTATCAATTAAACTAAGAGAAAATGCCATGCAGATCTATTACAAAACAAAACATATTTGCTTCATATTTCAAAACAAATCGTCTTCCCACAGATTTGATATCAAGTTTCAAATAAAATATTATACGTGCTTTATATATTTATTCCAACTATTTTTACAAAGAATTGCATAGTAAAAGAAATTCAATGTTTATCTGTTTATTCTTATTTCTGAAATTACGATGAGATCATCTCTGTTCCGCATGTATTTTTTCTTTATTCAATACTTCTATCGTTCATTTATTCGTTTTCTCCTGCTAGTCAATGTTCAATTCTAATCTGTTTGTTAAAACAATTTAGTTATAACGATTATATTTTGTTAAGATTTTATCCACAAAAAATCCATTGCAAACTCATAAAAGAGAACATATATATCACAAAAATATGTTTAGAAATGAACTGCAAATATATAATCTTAGTTATTGTAAGTATAAACTTGTGTTTTTTACGATCAACTGTTATACCTAAATCTGGCCATACACGAATGCATATTTCATGAAAAAGTCAATGAATTAAAGTTTTCTATTTATCGAACTCGCTCTTCTTTGAAAGTAAAGGTGAGGATGATGGGTACGATGCTCTTGTTTCAATTTCAAACGCTCATTATGCTCACATTCTATCAGAGGTATCCATCGCATCGATGGTAGCTTTTATTTTGAAGGACATTGGAAAGCTGCAATAATTTTCACAAAATTTCAGTGTCTGCAAATGTAACACATTGCGACTCGAAGAATCTCAAGAACGAACAACAAACAATTCTCGTTCAGTACAATCACAGCAGTGAAATTCGAAGCATTTTAAAAAAATGCCATCGCCCAAGTGGCAACTTCTCTTATAGCTCGTCGCGATGAATCTCACTGAAATAGGTATATATAGCTTAGAATATGGTAGAATGTTACACTGGTGCAACCAGCTTCTGATAGTTCCACTGCTTTTCTCTACAACAAAAAAATTATACATTCGTGAGACTTTTCCAAAACTGCACCATTATTTCATCTACAAAATCCACTTATTCAAAAAACTTCGAAAATTATCCAAATGTGGAACTTTGTCTACATTTATTTGTGGAAACACCCGGTTTTTAGTTAATTCCAGGCTCTTATTCGACCATTTGCGCAAAAACAAATGTGTAGGAGAAATTTCTATATTAAAATCTGGTTCAACATTTGATGTTGAATCGAATGGTGTTTGTTTCGGTGAAAACTATTTTCTCCCGAAAAGACATCCCAAAACGACACTACGGAAAAAAATTTCGAAAAAAGAGGATGTTTTATCAAATAAATGCAAAAAGGTCCATATTTGAATAAGTAGATTTTTGTAGATGAAATAATAACGCCAATTTTGAAAAAGTTTTATGAATGTATTATTGTTCTCTCATTGGAGAAAGAGAGCGTACCAGGTGCCTATAAAAGTTTTGTAGAGCGAAGAAAAGCGTATCGAGCCATAGTATTTCAATATCTTAAATACTTATGGATAGAAAAAAATTCATTCGTCTCAATTCTTAGATGTGTCTTTACACCAGATACACAAGCTGATGAGCTATGTTCACTTATAATCATTTATAAAAATCAAATCCACAACATCACCAGATATAGAACAACATGGTTTTTCGATGCTGTATATATTTGAAAAGGCTTTTACGACGTGATAGATTTTGGATCTTATATTGTGAAGTCCTCTATTACAAATTGAAGTAAAACATCCTGGATATCTCCATTAGAAATGTTTGTTCAGTATTGGAATAGGAAAACAGGAAGAAACAGATTACTAATCGTATTTCATTGATAAATACATGAAGTTGCTTCCTATAAGATAGTGAAGAAAATATTATACTTATTAACTACATGATTTATTAGAGTAGTTCAACATTTGTTTATACTTTCGAAAATATTTTTTCTACTATGCAATATCATCATTTTTTCTTTAGATGATATTTTTACTCATTTGACTAATGAATATGACTCATCTAATTTTCCCATTATTATATCATACATTTCTTATGTTAGTAAGGAATGACTTCAATTATTTTGATAATAATCTAATAGGCAAGTGCATATTTGATTTACGTTTAATTACAGGCAATTAAATATACTTCAAGCTTCTTTTGATAAATCCAACGAATGTTGCAAAATGAATCGATTACAAAATAGATAAAACGATCGAACATTCTTTAGAAAAAAAATTCTTTTTTTAAATTCCTAATATTTGTAATATTATTATAAAGTAAGTAGATGTGGTAAATAATTGTCATAGTTTGAATGAGCCTGTATAATTCAACTGTGTTTTTTATGCGATTCTACTGAATTTAGAGAAATCCTTTCATGTGTCTGTGGACGTTCAATTGATTTTTATCAATAATAATCCATTTACAATCGAATTTTTTGATCAACGTATCGACAATCAATTCAAGGCTTAATCTAATAGTAGTGAATCGGTGTATTTCGAACTCCTCAGTATTTGTTTTACTGTGAAAATTTGAAAACCGTACCATATTTTAATACTCATTTCTAATTTCTAGATAGATGATTTAGCACAATGTTTACTTCAAAACCTAACCTTTCGTTGCTGACTTATTAGGATAGTAATCTACTTGAATTAGTTTTGACATTTCAGAAAATTTTCTGCTATTTATACATTGATCAACGAAAAAAATTCAAATAATGGTAGGCATCGATGCAAGAAATAAGCATAGTCTTGATACGAAATATATTTGTCCTGTATGTTCATTGATACTACAAGATCCTGTACAATTGACAAAATGTGGCCATCGTCAATGTCACACATGTGTAAATGTTGAGCACGGGTATGTTGCATTATCATTTTGAAGTATTATGTTTCAGTGTTATTCCTAAAGAACAACAATTAAATGTTGGCAATGTCAAGCAGAAACATTACGAAGCGATGTAAGATACCTTTTCATAATTCAAGAGAAAATAATATTTCCTTTATGTAGATATTGCTTGATCGAGGCTTCAAAATTGACATGAAATCCCTACCGATTGACTGCCATTTTTGCCAGTGGACCGGCATTCTAAATAACTATCAAGTAATTTATTTTATATATTTGTCTTCCTGAATCTTCTATACTTTTTCCTTCAAAGGAACATCTCGATCAATCTCATTCAAATCTCATATGTGAATATTGTGGCAAACAGTTCAACTCAATTAACAAATTCAATCAACATAAAGTCTTCGAATGTCAACAACTGATTGTTGATTGTATATTGAAAAACTTTGGTTGTAATGAGCCAGTAGGAATATTCTCTAAATAAACTTGACATAGGAAATATTATCTTCTTCAGATTATTCGTGCCAAAATAAAAGATCATTATTTGACTCAACAACATCAATATGCTGTAGTCAAAGTTGTTCGTCAAATGTTATCTCAATTAAACGACAGACAAATAGATATTGATTATCCTCGAACAACAACTGCAGGAGCTTGTAATTTTGCTACAGCTCAATTAGAAGAGCTTTATGAAATGCTCAATATCTTGATAGGTGGTGTCGAAACATTGACTAATGATCAACAACGTCTAGTGAATGAATCACTTCAAATGCAAATAAGACTTCCAGCATTGACAGAAGAATTATCGAAAGTTAAATTATCCATTGAAGAGTCAAACGCTTTTGTCGAAGGAGTAAAACACAATCAAGATATTCTCAATCAAGATTTATCATCACTGCAACTAAAAATCAATGATTTGCAGTGTGTTTCATATGATGGAACATTGGTTTGGAAAATAACAAACTTTCTAGAGAAAATGAGTAAGATGAACAGTTACTGTTATGCTCAATGATAAAGTAGAAAATCTTAATGAAAAGATCAGCACAGAATAAGATAATAGATAATTGGTTCAACGTTACATTCCTTATAATATATAATCATGCACGACTACAATATATGAGTAATCGATTGATGATTAGACGAAATAATTCATCAACGTTGTTGATCCCTTGAATTCCTTTAGACAAGCTTCCTACTCTTCTTCGTATATTAATTGTTAGTTTAATTTCTAGTTGATGCACAGTCTGAAAGACAAACATCAATTTATTCACCTCCATTTTACTCATCTCCAAATGGTTATAAAATGAGAGCTCGTCTTTATTTAAACGGTGATGGAAATGCTCGTCGTACACACATGTCTCTCTTTTTTGTACTCATGCGAGATTTGAACGATCCAATTCTCAAATTTCCGTTCAACTATAAAGTCACATTTTGTTTATACGATCAAACGCCTTCACGACAACATATTATTGATTCATTTCAACCAGACATTAAATCGAGCAGTTTTCAGCGACCTCGATCGGATATGAATATAGCCAGTGGTATACCAAAATTTATCCCGTTGGAAGCGATTCAACAGGAAGGAAGCCCATATATACGAAATGATACAATGTTTATCAAAATTATGATTGATTTCGGAGAAATACCCAAAACATTATTGCCCTACGTCTTGAGTCTCAATCCAGGTCTCCCAACTCATGTCCAACAAGCAATAATCAAACAAGAAGCAGAGAGAAGAACACAATTACGACCTGACCAACAATAGTAGATGGCTCAAGAGTGATCTACCGTTTAGTTTATGTCAAAGTAGTGAAGCATAATCAAGAGCACCTTCTTTAGAAGTTATAAAAGTTTTTTTTATTAATTTATAAGATAAACCAGATATTATTTTAACCTTCTCCTGTTTTTTTGATACTCATGCAAAGCTTACCGATCTCTCGTAGAAGATGAAGTCATTTTGTTGTCTGATAATAGGAAGTTGTATTGAGAACAAATTGTGTTTTAAAGAACTGCTCTTCAGATCGTTTTTCGAAATTTTTGAAGCATTAATAAATAGATATCCTTAATTCGCTTTCATTTGAGGAAGAAGATTAACTTCGGAACGAAAACTCCAGACGTCTTTTTTGAAAAGAATTCAATGTCTATTTAGATTTTTGAGAAATGTTTTTGTTATTGTCAAAATATTTTATGATGCATCGTATTAGATTCAATGATATCTTAAGCCTAATGCAAATATAATTGTATCACATATGATCAAAACAACACGTAAGTGAATAATCATGCTAAATCAAAACTTTACTTTAAACGATTGATACTAAATATGTTAATAAAAATAATCGTAAGAAAGACGAGCCTTGCGCTCGTATCATATCGCTCACGTTTACTTGCGATAAATAAAGAATATGCAATCCTTTTTGATCGAAAACTACAATGAAATGAAAAGAAATTTATTGTTGAAAATTCTTGTCACGAATTTTTCTTTTTCAGTACTTGCAACTTAATGTTGGCGTTATGAAACGAATGACTATTCGTTTAGTATGATTAACTGGGATCGTAACACTATTTTCGTCCTAGATAATCATGCTTATGTATTACTAGTAACACAAGAGAAGAGAAGAGAAGTAAAATGTAACGGGGAATGATCATTACATTTAGCTTTTCTTCTTAGCATTGATAAAAAAATGACTTAGTGCATAGAAAAAGTTCTGGCCACTGCATTTAGAAGATGAGTGTAGGTGTGAATGTGGATGTGGATGTGTAGATGTCTTTTAGTAAATTGACTGTAGATCTTTCAAAATCCTATGAAAACAAGGTTTACTGTATACCATTCGACGCGCCACAAAAAGCTCTACAACATTGTATATTTGGTTTTTCATTTCTCAGCAGGTCTCCTCATTCGATAAGATCCTTTAAACGCCGTGGTCAGAACTTTTGGCATGCCCGAAGTAGGCTTAAAGTAATATATGATGCATGATAATATTTCACAATTAAGTTATTGGAAAGCTAAGCAAAATATTTTTGTATCTGGCGTCCCGCACGGGATCTCAGCAAGACTTTTTATCTTTGGCTTCGTAGAGACACATATTTATTAATACAGTCAAGTTCGCTGATTACGAATACCATTATATTAAATATCCAGAGATTTGTATAAATAAAGAAGCAATCTTTTTTCAAGTGTTTCTTTGCCTTTATATCTAGGTTTTTGTTCATAGATATCTTCCATCAATTATTTTAACGTCATATAAAAGGACTCAAAATAGCTAAAACAACGCAGTTTACTCGAATATGAATTATAAAAACTTCGTGGTAGTATGACCGGCTACAAAAATTGGAATTATCGGTCCACAACTTACTTTTCTCTATTTCCAATAATATCTGTTAGCATCAAAACCTTCTGACACAAATTTGGCATTTTGGAGTAACTACGTAATTTTGAATATTCCATCGGATACGGAACTCAAAAGTTAAGAAAATGGCGTATCTCAGTTTGTGAGGATTTTTTAAGATACTTGTCTAGAATTTTTAGGCTTTCAATGAAAGTCGAATTGATCATCGTGTTCAGCATATTGAGCAATCCATTTCAAAACTCGTAACTCGTCTTTAATTATTAATACAACTACTCTTTTGACCTGTTACATCATCTAAGCTATTAATCAGAGAAATCGATCTACCAGTTCGTCATATAAAAAATATTTGGTTTGTTAGAGAACATTATACAAAGTTTGTTTGATTTGACAAACATGATAGGAAATCTGATTTCCATCGAAAGCCTTAAAATTCTCAACAGTTTTCTCATAAAACCCTCAAAAATCTAGATATACCATTTTCTTCTCTTTTTGAGTTCACAATCCTATTGAGTATGCAAAATTACATATTTTGTTGAAATGAGAGGGTGGATGTGGGTGTCGCCCCTCTGTAGGTACAGCACATACCCATACCTTCACTCACATCCTTCTGTAAGAAAATCTCGATTTTTATCTTTGTAAGATACCAACAGCACGAAAGTTAATCAAGATTTTTTCTTTGTCTTCCTTTTGGACCTGATCCAATCGAGATTTTGCTCCTGATATAAATAAAATAGTGTTAATTTTTGTGAATAGTTTATTCAGATTGAAAGGTTCAAGAACTGAAAGAAAGCTGACTTTTTGCAAAAAAAGCACTGCTTTCAGTTTATGTAATATAATACTCATTCGAATCTGGATGTAGGCGTAACCGACTGTAACCAGATGCACACTCGAATACCACCCCTTGTTTCTGATGGATTTTAGGGTACTGGAAGAAAACTTATTTGTTTGAGAAGATAGAGCATTTTTTTTATCTTGAGCTACATATAACACATTTTTTTTCAAACCTTTATAAATAAAATGATATGGGAAGAAAGAGAAACATTTGTACTATAGAATTGCGAGTTTTTCTATGAATTTGTGGAAAAGGTATTGCAAGATAATAGTTGATTCAATTTATTAATAAACTGGTCCGAGCGATATTGTTTTCTTTTACTTTCTTGTATATCACTGACACATGCATAATTAAAAGAAGTGAGTGTCTCTCGATCTGCTGAATCAAGTAGATATGAGAGTGAACATTTTGTATGCTTACTTTGTGGAAAGATTGCGAACTCGTTTTAAACTTGCTTCTCGTTTCTTTGACATGATTTCGTTTATGAATAAAGAAGGCGTATGATGTGAGTCTGGTGTGGTAGTCTGATTGTACAGAGATAACACGCATTCTCATCCACACTCTGGATAGAGTATACTTAAGTATATGTAGTTGTATCGTCTTTCAGACAGCAAATGTGTTTACTACTGCAGACTTTTGGACCTAGAATTTCAGTGATTCACAGATATGCGTAGTTGAACAAATTAGCATGTTGTCGCAGAAAAGAGTATGAGTCAATAGATGCTAACTTGTACATTCAAATAGATTTGGAAAGAATGAAGCGGTTTTGAAAAACTTATTACACACTCACTTGAATGAGGAAGAGAACGTAGCACACCGTGAGTAAGACTGTTAGGACAAAAATAAACTGCCAATGATTGACATAATACGTTCTCAACTATTTCATCAAAAAGCTCGTTTGAATTCTCTAATATTACATTTCTCATGCTCAGAAAAAGATAGTACAGAAAAATAATTGGCATTAACTGAGCAAAATTGTTTTTTTTTCCTGGAAACCAAACCATTATTTCTTTAGTCTATCTCGATAGTCACAGCATGATTAGCTGAGTCCCGATGAATCATGCTATCCTTCTTGCACTGTCAGCTAACCTTCGAGAATTAGCTTCTTAGAATAACCATCATGATGCATAATTGTCACTGGAACATTCCTAAGAACAACTAGTGTAGTTGATTCGGTATTTATTCCATTTTAGTGAAGAAAGGTGTTTTTTTTTCTATCAGATCGATCTTACCACCACCGGGCACGTTTTCGTTATTACAGCGTGAATTTCTTCAGAGTTGACTATTTACCTCTTAATAACATTGTGATAAACAACCTTCTCGATCATTCTGTAGTGGGCAAAAACTCTTCTCATCCTTCTATATCATTCACCAATGAGAACGCCACGAAATGTAAGAAGAACAAGTGGTTCGATTCGTTGAGAAAGAGTGATGTCATTGTTTCTAAAAGATCGTGGACATGTGGATTATGTGCGTTCTTTCATGATGATGATGACGAATGTGTAAATAGGACAAGCATGTCGTGCGTCATACATTTACCCAGAAAGTAATTTATTACATCTTACAAAGAGATGGCTGATTCAAACAGGCCTGAACAGTTGCTGCCATGAGAATTTCATTATATTGGTGATGCATCTCAATGTGAATGCATCGATAAGATTGGTCAGGGAACATATGGTGAGGTATTGAAAGTACGATGTCGAAAGACAAATGAATTTGTTGCAATAAAATTGATTTTAATGGATCAAGAAATAGAAGATTTTCCCATTACAGCATTACGTGAAATTACAATTTTACAAGGTCTTCGACACGATAGTATTGTACAACTGATTGAAATGTGTCGATCACAAGTAGAAAATTCGTCTCGAAGTAAATTCTATTTCATATTTGAATTTTGTGATCATGATCTGGCCGGTATTTTGCGCAATGTACAAGTCAAATTCTCATTGGGACACATCAAGTCCATTATGCAGCAATTACTCAATGCTCTTTATTTTATTTATACAAATTATATAATTCATCGAGATATAAAACCCGTGAATCTCTTAATTACAGGTAATGGTATACTTAAATTGGCTAATTTTGGTCTGTCAAAAATGATTACTCCACCGAAGCCCGATAAAAAAAAACGACATACCTATCGGATGATCACAATGTGGTATCGCCCTCCTGAATTGCTATTAGGTGAACGAGACTACGGTTCAGCTGTTGACATGTGGGGTGTAGGATGCATCTTTGCTGGCATGTGGACCCGTTGTCCAATTATGCAAGGAGAGACTGAACAGCATCAACTCCAATTAATTGCAAGTCTATATCGTAGTATTGAACTGAGTGTTTGGCCTCGTGTTCATTTATTGCCACTCTATAATAAAATGAAGTTACTAGAAGGTGAGCGTCGAAAAGTTTATGATCGAATGAAACCTTATATTCAAGAGCCATTAGCACTTAATTTAATCGATCGATTACGAACACTTGATCCAAAGCAACGAATCGATGCTGCCAATGCGCTTGATTCTGATTTTTTTTTATTCTGATCCACCTGTAGCCGATTTGAAACAACTTTTATAGAAATATCACTCAATGTTCGATTAAAAAGAAACATCACGTAACGCAAATCATCAAAGATCCAAATTCTTGAATTTACCATGTGAACCAATTTATTAGGAGAGAAGAGAACAACAAAATGAAAATGTTCTTTTTTTCTGTTTTTACTTGTTTGTTACCGCTAAACAAGCAATAAAGACAGAATGTAAATATACAAAAACAGATCGACCGATTAATTTATAAAATTTTCTCATCTGCCTTGAGAATGGCCAGAGTATTATCAGATTAAAAAGTCATTTATAATCGTGAAAAGAAAAGAGAAAACAAAAGCAATTTTCATACTAATCTATGCTACATATGAAATAGTGTCGAAACAAACAAACAAACAAACAAAATTAATTATTTCGCCATTTAGCCAATCAATTTCTCGAACAGCTGAAGATGCAAAAAACCTCTGATCAAACACATATTATGATCAGTAAATACTGCGAGCTGATGGCAATATTGGCCTGCGAGAGCAACATATTTCTAACAAGCTAAATGGAAAAGTACGAAGAGTTGAAGCTCTATGTAATCTTGGCCGTTGTGTGCAAGAATTAAGTAGTATATCGATTGATATTATTATTGACCTATATAATTTCTTCATGGAACATTTATGCATAACCACTCTACAAGTGAATGTATATAGGACTAATCAGAATATTATTCCATATTGTTTCACTAAATGTAAGACACTTCTTCTATATTGTTATCAACATGTTGTCGAATGAACTAGAAAGACAAGCTCATGTTTGAATGGTAGTGTGTGACTCGGTCTTGTCATTTGCGAGCATAAAATCGAAATTCAAAACCTATTAAGTTAACTTTCAATTTCTTTCATAAAAATTATTCTAATAGGCAACAATCTTAAATTTCAAAATCTGGTTGTCTAAGTTCTTTGAAGCCGACTTATATCAATTTTCATAAGATTTGTTCTTTCACTTTTACTTTTAAAAAAAATGCAACTTATAGAGATTGCTAAACATAATTATTACTATGAATATCATGTGCATCTTTTGAACTTGAACACACCCAAGCAGCCAAAAAAATTCATGCGATGGCCACGATGAGCCCTCGAAAATGTCATATATATATTTTTTGCCCGTTCTGTTTCGATTTCGAGTCCATCGGAAACCATCGGATTTCGAGTAATCGAAAATCATCCTATTCAAAAGACGTGATCGACTTGTCGGGGAATTACAGATGCGTCGATAACTATCGAAATTTGGAGTACTCGAGATAAATAACTACATCGAAGGAACCATGTCGAGTACTCCAACACAAACAAGTTTAAGGTAATAACGANTTGACTTGTCGAACAAGAACAAAGTTCGTCTGCACCTTACGTGAATGTGTTACGATTTAATCATGAGATCAAATCGGATTGAAAACATTTCTTTTTTTTTTAATACATCACTCTTTCTCTCACGAGGACAAGTTTACCTCATATGATGTATACTCGCTATCGATTGACTTAGTTGTGTAGCTCAGACAAAGAACCAACTCGATTTCGTCTGTTCCCGGCTATCGATGACCTCAACCTGCATTGTCTCGTTTCAATTCTCTGACCAATATGATACGATGACGAGTATTAAGGTTATTTGCTTCTCACGTTTTCTCAACTTCCATGAAACATTTTCTATTTTGCCTTCAATGACTTGGTATCAGATCAACTCAATTACATGAAATTCGATTAGAAGTCGACTATCATTGTTCTTTTCGCTTATGTCGATTTTTATCGAGAGCGCCTTTCATTCAATATTTAACTCTACTCAAAATTATGTTCGATTTGAACCATATATTCTTCATCATACCTATACTTCACAAGTTCAACGTAAAACTGTGGAACTGCCATGGGAGTCCATTGCTGCAATCACCGCACTATTTGCAACGACTATCACTCATAATGCATGGTGTCACTACAGCAGGGTTCGAACCTATCTTGTTTCCAATGAGTAATTTCACTCACTTTACTATTTTTGTCGATATCGAGGAAGGTGATATTGTCGATGGAGCTACACAGGCAAGGATCATGAGAAAAATTGTTATATGCGAGTTCTCAATTCGCATTGCAAACAATGACTTTATCAATCTCAATTCGTTTCACGGTCGATTCTGGCTAAAAGAAAAGAGGATATCTATATCCAAACATAGAGCACATGTGCATAATAAAGTCAATAGGACCAGAATCATCAACATTTCCACATATTAGAAGTCTGTTTGTTCACCGGCAATGTCTGTTCGAGCAAACACTTTCGAGGCGCTACACATGTGTCAATACTTTAATCATCAATGAAAACCTCGATATTACACTTACATAGGTTTCGAATTATATTGATATGTCGCGAATCGCCAAATTTGTGCAAGACACATCAGAAAGCGAGAGCAGGCGTTCATTTCGTTCGTATTCTAAATTGTCTGCCTCATTTGCGTTCATATCATTTAAATATCTGAAATCTCGTCACATTTTTTATCGATCAGTGGCTTCATATCAATCGATTACACATAAATGATCCTCGTTTTTCTCTTTCAGAAGCGCCTGACGTCAAATCTAATCGAAACGCTTTGGCGCATGTTCAATCATCGTGAGAATTTTTTATTTAGTCGAGTGAGTGTGATCAATCTTGAGGTGTGGGTGAGTGTGGATCTGAATGTGGTTGAGGGGTTATCTGCAGAGAAAATTGCAACCCACATTAATATCTAAATATCGACAGCCACAACCACTCACACCCACACCCAACTCTTTTTTCGAGGATGTTCAAATTCATAATAAATATTCTAAAATAAATGTTTGACGTTCGATCATCAACATGTCTGAAAATTTGAGTATATTTATGAGTTTAAGGGAAATAATATTGCAATTTTCGTACAATATTTGCACTGTTTATGTATTGGAATTTCCAAGTGAGATAGGTTTCATGTATAATTAATTGGAAAACAAATAGTATTAATATGAAGCAATAATCAAACAAAATAGTTGCCTATGTCTTGCTTTAACGGAGTGAAAATATTGTTTCATATAAATATGATTTCTAGCGAGTTGTGTTTTGCGCATTAAGATCAATAATGAAATTATCAAGAAAAAATATTATTTTTCTTTTCAATAAACTGACTTTTTGATTACTTTATATACAAACATAAGCTTTCCGCATTGACTTCTCTGCTCAACCCAAGATATAATATAAATGGATTGAAGAAATATGCTAATTTTGGGACTCTGAAAAAAGTTGGCTACTAGATTCCCATTACTGATAATAACTTTTTTTTTCAAAAAGATGTATTATTGATTTAAAAGGAAAAAATTTCGAATGCCATGACGATCATTCCGATTGTTGGCAACTACCATAAACCATGAATTGTTGCATTAATTTTCACCGAATTGCACCGTGATTCATTATACCGTTTTGGGAACCGCTTTCTTTGCTAGAAAACTGTCATCGGTTTCTTCACTAATTGCCTCCGTTTTCTGATATGACGGATTATAAAGCCGTGTTCTTGGACCTAGGAAAATATCTTTACTAAATTTATTCGAGATTAAAGCAAAATAGCTATGACATCTCAATAGAAAATTTTTATTCAGTAAAGGATTACAGAAGACCGAAAAAACACGATTGCTAATAGTGTTTGCCTGGAAAATGACTGAAATTTTTTCAAACGAGGAAGTGACGAAAACATTATAAATAGGAAGTTCATGAGTCATCAGAGTTGCGCAATGTTTATATACATCTCCAAAAAATAGGGTTTTTACTTGAATATGTCAAAACTAATGCGAAAATATTATGCGTTTCACAATCTTTTGAAATCAAACGTTAGTGAAATTCATTCTGTCAAGACGTAGTTTTTGCAAATCAAACATTATCATGTAATCTTCACATGGTACTTTCGACGAAATTAAGTAATAAATATGATTCACCTATCTTCAGCATTTATACTTCCTAGATTGCTTCTCAGTAAGGATTATGTAAGTCCTTTTTTAGCATTATCTGCTTAAAAAAATACATATGTGATTTCTTTTTATTTATAGATCATGAAAAATACTTGAGCTTTTGATAAATTCAGTGAATGCAGTGAAATGAATCAGTATCATAAAAGGCAAAACGACCAGTCATTCTTGAAAAAAAAACAAAAAGTTTCAAATATTAGCAATATTAATATGAAATCAGTCAAAGTATAAATCGTTGTCATAGCTTCAATGAGCCTGTGTATTTGACTTATTTTTTTGTTTTACCCCGTTTAACTGAATGTAGAGAAAGGACGAAATGTATCTGTTGACATTTAAATGATTTTCATCAATAATGATCTATTATTAATCGAAATTTTCATCAATGTACCTACAATGAACGAAGGTGTAGGTGAGGATGTGGTTCAAAGAAAGGCTGACAACCACACCTACATCCATCTCCACATTTACACCCGTATCAGCTCATGGAATTGAAAAATAAAAAAACCTTCATGACTTTCGTGAATTTTATATCAAAAACATTAAAAAATGGCATTGCTGATGATGAAACGCACAAAAGATTGGATCTTTTTTCAAATTCATTGATGAGTAGAGTCGTTTTAATTAAACACATACAGTAAATTTCGATTTTTATCAAAATCATGCAATGAAATTAATGAAAATGACTATTTTAATGGATGAATTTGAAATATATCAGTTTTTTGTGCGTTTCATCATTTTTGATGCTTAACTCCCTGACATACTCACACATCCATGTCCATTCATATTTTGACCAAAGAAAAATAAGAAACGAAACAAAGTCACATATATAGAAGAAAACTGATTTTATATCTAACTAGCTGTTAGATCATGCACATAGGGTAATGATCTAAGACGAAAAAAGAAATAACATCGTCTCTTCTAGTCTAATTGGCGTAGGACATCTGCCCGGATAGCAGAAGGTGTGGGTTTGAGTCCCGCGAGGAGCACATCTTTTTTGTTCTGTCACTGTACCATCTCCTCCTTTCAACTGTTTATCTAACTCTAGCATTCATCGTTTATTTCACATAAAGTAATTAAAATAATGGTCGGCATCGATGAAAGAAATAAACATCTTCTTGATACGAAGTATATTTGTCCTGCTTGTTCATTGATACTACAAGATCCTATACAATTGACTCAATGTGGTCACCGATATTGTCAAACATGTTTAAATATTGAACAAGAGCAAGTTTCATTACCTATATGAAATATTATTTTTTATTACTATTTGTCAAGAACGACAATTAAATTCCACAATGCCAATGAAAACATTACGAAGCAACGTAAAATATCTTTTCATAATTAGAAAGAAAATATATTTCCTTTGTATAGATGCTACTTGATCGAGGTTTCACAAATGATATGAAATCATTATCCATTGATTGTTCTTTTTGTCAGTGGCATGGTGTCTTCAATAACTATCAAGTAATTTATTTTATATTTATTTTATTTCTGAATCTTCTTTCCTTTGTGTTCTAAAGGAACATCTTAATCAATCACATTCAAATCTCAGATGTGATTATGATCATGAACAGTTCAATTCAATTAATAAATTCAATGAATATAAAGTCTCACAATGTCAACAACGTATTGTTAACTGTATATTGAAAAACTTTGGTTGTAATGGGCCAGTATGAATATTCTTTAGATAAAGTTGACATTGGAAAATTCATGTTCTTTAGATTATCCGTACCAAAATGAAAGATCATTATTTGACTGAACAACATCAACATGCCGTACTCAATGCTGTTCATCAACAGTCATCGCAATTAAACGATAGACAAACGGATATTGATTCTACTGAGGTTACAAATGCAGGAGTTTGTGATGCTGACACAGTTCAACCAGAAGAGGTTACTGAAAGACTCAGTATCTTGGTACGTGACACAGAAACATTGACAAGTGATGAACAACGTCTTAGCCATGAATTACTTCCAACATTGGCAGAAGAATTATCGAAAGTTAAATTATCTGTTGAAGAATCAAATCCTTTTTTGGAAGGAGTGCAACATAATCAAGATCTTCTTAACCAAGACTTATCATCATTGCAAGAAAAAATCAATGATTTGCAGTGTGTTTCACATGATGGAACATTGATTTGGAAAATTACAAACTTTCAAGAGAAAATGAGTAAGTTGAACAGTTACTTTTATGCTAAATGGTAAAAATAGAAAACCTTATTGAAAAGATCATCAAAGAGTAATATGTTATTCAATTTCTATTGAATCGATAAATAATACGTATATGAATAAATGTTGTGTTCAACATAATATATAATTATTCTCGAACACAATCTTGGAGTAATCTGTTGATATAATGAATCATCAATACTGTCGACTTCTTAAAGTTCTTTATATTTTCTTCTGCTCTTCTTGAGGTATTTTTTTTGTTTAATTCTTAGTCGATGCACAGTCTGAAAGATAAATATCAATTTATTCTCCTCCATTTTATTCATCTCCAAATGGTTATAAAATGAGAGCTCGTTTGTATTTAAATGGTAATGAAGATGCTCATCGTACACATATGTCACTCTTTTTTGTACTCATGCGAGGTTTGAACGATCCAATTCTCAAATTTCCATTCAGCTATAAAGTCACATTCTGTTTGTACCATCAAACACCTGCACAACGACATATTATTGATTCATTTCGCCCAGACATTAACTCAAGTAGTTTTCAACGTCCACGATCCGAAATGAGTATTGCAAATGATATTCCTAAGTTTTGTCCTTTGGCAACAATTCAACAAGAAGGCAATTCTTATGTTCGAGATGATACAATGTTTATCAAAATTATGGTTGATTTTCTTGAAATATCAAAAACATTATTGTCCTATATTTTAAGTCTCAATCCAGGTCTACCAACACATATTCAACAAGCGACAATTAAGCAAGAAATGGAACGAAGATCTCAACAACAGTCTGGCGAGTCACTGTTGACACCTCATGGGTGACCCATCACTGATCAATTCAAGAGAAAAAATGTGTATACCTGTACTTCAGAAGAATAAGAGAAGCGAGAAGTGCCAAAGTTTGTAGAAGAACATAGAATTACAATGAGATACGTCCATGTACACCAATGTGCTTAAAAGTTCCTGTACATTTATTTGTAAGGAAAAACCTAGAGAAACGCAGCTTCAATAAACTATAGATTGATAACTCACACAAGGTTGTGTAGTTAGATATAAGCCACTCTCACCACACTTACACACACCCAATTCGACACTCTCCCACTCACATTTCACACGGACACCTTTTTTGCGTGATTTTAATTGAGAACATGGAGAGATATCTTCTCAAAATAAGAAAGAACTAACGTTGATAAGCTACCCGTACATGCCCACGTAAAAAAGAACTGAACCAAAATCACTTTTAAGTACTTTTAATATTAATAAAGTAAAATAAAGTGACTTTTCTTACTCTTTTTCACTTTTTATAGTAGTTTCTCATATTTTTTCTACTTCAAAAAGTATTTAATAGTACTTTTTAGTCAAAAAGTATGAAAAGTACTTTTCCTGTTTAAAAAAAACTTTTGAAAGTACTAAAAAGTTGATTTGTGTCGACTGTTATTTTTTACACGGGTATTTCTTAAAGACATAAAAGTGTTGTTGCCAAGAGTACGAAGAAAAATAATAGATCTTCGCCAAAGGATAACAATGTGGGTGTAGAGCGTTAGTCTATAGAGTGTAAGTGAGTGTGGATGTCGAAGTAGATGTATGTAAGTGTGATTATAAGTGGCTTCCCTTTACCCACATCCGCTTGTGTGAGTTGTCGATCTACAGTTTATTGAAACTGCACATCTCTAGGTTTTTTCTTACAAATAAATATGAAGGAAATTTTAAGTAGATTTGTGTACATCAATATATTTCATCGTAGTTCTAAGTATTTCTGTGTACTTTTTTTGGTACTTCCATTCTTCTGAAGTATAGAAGTAAGCTTTTTCCCTTGTTCAATTTACGTCAAGTATTTAATTAATAATCAAGTGTTTTCTGTTTTCAAGTTATGATTTTTTCATAATTAAAAATGTAAATCAGATGTTAATTCAAGTTTTTCTGTCTTTTTGATAATCATGCAAAGCTTAACAATATTCTCTATATGTTGAAGTCATGTCGTTATCTGATGACAGCAAATTATACTGAAAGATAGTTTTTTTTTTAAAAGAACCACTATT